GTGGTAGTAGTAGTAGTAGTAGTAGTAGTAGTAGTAGTAGTAGTAGTAGTAGTAGTGGTAGTAGTAGTAGTAGTGGTAGTAGTAGTAGTAGTAGGTAGTAGTAGTAGTAGTAGTAGTAGTAGTAGTAGTAGTAGTAGTAGTGGTAGTAGTAGTAGTAGTGGTAGTAGTAGTAGTAGTGGTAGTAGTAGTAGTAGTAGTGGTAGTAGTAGTAGTAGTAGTAGTAGTAGTAGTAGTAGTAGTGGTAGTAGTAGTAGTAGTGGTAGTAGTAGTAGTAGTAGTAGTAGTAGTAGTAGTAGTAGTAGTAGTGGTAGTAGTAGTAGTAGTAGTGGTAGTAGTAGTAGTAGTAGTGGTAGTAGTAGTAGTAGTAGTAGTAGTAGTAGTAGTAGTAGTGTAGTAGTAGTAAGTATGGTAGTAGTAGTAGTAATAGTGGTAGTAGTAGTAGTAGTAATAGCAGTAGTAGTAGTAGTAGTAGTAGTAGTAGTAGTAGTAGTAGTAGTAGTAGTGGTAGTTGTAATAGTGGTAGTAGTGGTAGTAGCAGTAGTAGTGGTAGTAGTAGTGGTTGGTAACAGTGGAAGAAGAAGACAATAATGAAGTCGTCGTAGTAGTAACAGGAAAGTAAGAGCAAGAGAAAGAACAACAACAACAAAAAATCAAAGAAGAACAAGAAAAAAAAACAAGAAAAAGAAAATAACCAAAGAAAAAACAAAAAAACAAAACAAAAACAACAACAACAACAGAAAAGACAGCAAAAAAAAAAGAAAAAAAAAAGAAAAAAAAAAAAATTATCAGACGAAGCTCATCTCACCTGGCGAACATCCCTGTCGTCATCTCGGCTCCTGCTCGACACCCTGATGGAATTAAGGGGGTGAGTCTCCAGGGCCGAACTGCAAGGGACGTTATGGATGAATGTTGCTCTTCTATCAGGTGGGATCTTCGCCCTTAAATGCGTAGTTTAGTGTGGGGATAGCTTTAGGGGGTTTGTTTTTGGGGGGCATATAGTTGTTTAATTTGATACTGATAGTAATGATAGTTATGATGTTGATAATTATGATAATACTGCAACTATTAGTAATACCGAAAAAATGATAATGATGATAATGATAAAAGTAATAATAATACTGTTAATAATGATAACAACAACAAGAACCACAATGATAATAATGATACTGATAATGATAATAATGATAATAATAATAATAACAATGATAATGATATTATATCATGATAATATTAATTATATAAAAATTCTAATAAGAACATTATGATAAAACAGTAATAACAAAAACAATATTCGTATTAATACTAATAACAAAAATTATACTAACAATTACATTTATGATAATAACAATAACAACAACAAAAATAATAATATTATCATTACTAATAATAATGAAAATGATGGTGAAATAAAAGGTGATAATGATGGTCATGATAAAGATAATACAATAACTACTACAATTACAACTATTACTACTATAAATAATAATAATGATAATAATAATAATAATGATAATAATAATAATAATAATAATAATAGTAATAATAATAATAATAATTGCAACAACAAAAAAAGCAACAACAACAACAGTAGTAATAATAACAAAATAATAATGATGGTTATAAGAATAAAACAAATAATGAAAAATAATAATAGCAATAACAATAATAATTATTATGACCATGGTAATGATGATAATAATGATAATGATAATAATAATTATAATAACAATAATGATAATAATAACAATAGTAATAATAATAATGATAATAACAATCATAAATGTGCTTATAGTAATAATAATAATGATGATAATAATGATAATAATAATAATAATAGCAATAATAATAATAATAATAATAATAATGGTAATAATGATAACAATAATAACAATAATACTAATACTAATACTAATGCTAATACTAATAATAGTGATAATAATAATAATAATAATAATGATAATAATGATAATAATAATAATAATGATAATAATGATAATAATAATGATAATAATAATAATAATAATAGTAATGATAATAATAATATCAATAATAATAAGTATAATATTAAAAAATAAAGTAACAATAGTAATAAAAATAATAACAATAAAATGATGATGATGGTGGTGATGGTGATGATGACAATGGCGATGACGATGACGATGATGATCATGACAATGACGATAACAATAACAATGACGATGATGATAACAATGAAGACGATAGGAAAGAAAAGAGAAAAAGAGAAAAGAAAAGAAAAGAAAAAAAAAACTAAAACAACAAATACGACTTACAAATGCCCCGACCCGACGAGCGACGACCTCTCGATCATAACCTTGGTGAGTTTGTACCCGATGGCCGTGTAAGCGAAGCCCATGACAAGCGTGGGAATCACCAGCACGACGAGAAGCATGTACACCTCGTAGGCTCGCCACAGGAACACGTTGTCCCAGTCGCGGTGGCACCAGTACGAGACGACGCGCTCGCCGACCTGGGTGTGGAC